GTTCTGGCGGCCAGTCTAAAACTCTTTCAGCTAGAAGCATCTGCCGATAAAACCGATGCCGGTAGCGACAAACAGCGGGGAACTCTGCAAAAAACGCATCTTCGCACGGGCAGCCCGTGCGTTGGCCAATTATTTTATACTTGATCTGTTGCTATTGTTTCACCCACTTCTAAATTTTATTTTTCATCAAGGTCAGCAGTAGTCCAGGCAACTGCATTGGTATCCATTCACATGAAAATTCCGGAATTTCTGCATAAAATACGAACCTGCACTTGGTGTGTGTAGCTTGATATCCGGTGTGGGAAGCAATCTGGAGGACGGTGAAGCCCCAGTTTTACTAGCTCGTTCGCTGGATAGTGCTGCCTCAGCCGCTGCATGCACTTTATTGGCTGCTTCGGTGAGCTTCCAACGTCCCACTTTAAGTGCTACCCGACCAGTGCATGCCTAAATGATTCCTCTTTGGCACCTAAGGCAAAATGAGCGGTTCAAAACAGAACCGCAAATGACCAAGTGGAAAGAAATCAAAATCTCTCTAGTTCACCGCTTGTAAAGTATGAAGGAAGCAGCCGGAAGTAGCTCGAATGATAGCATTTGTCAGCAGCAGCCACACGCTTACAAAATTATCGGGTGTTGTCACTTTTTGAGTTTCTTGGGAGCAAGACTACAGAGATTTGGGCCCCTGGCATATGCCAGTATCAATCTACAATCAAAATGAATGAATGAATCACAGAAGGATTTGCTCACTGGCGAAGTCGGATCTTCAATGATCAGCATAAAAGTAAAAATCAGTGCCACGAAAACATCGAAAACTGAGAAATGAACCCAAAAGCGGATGAGTTATCATATGGTTTTGTTCACTGTTGATAAGCGAATGCAAGCCTGTATGTTTTGTTTCATTTTCAAGCAATTTAATAGGTCTAAACAGTGGTATACTAAGGATCTAACTACGAATGACGACTTATCGCAGGTTTTATTACCTCATTACTAGAAACGGTGACACAGTGGGGCAAGCACGCATCTCCGACTAATTTTTATTATCATTTATACCTGCAAGCTAAACCTAGTTTGCTACAGTTTTGAAAATTTTTAAACCTTTAACTTCGCAGCCACATCTTCTTGCATTGAGCTCGTCACGTCTTGCCCATTAACTGCCAAAATCTGAAAAAAAAACCTGCTACGACAGAAGAACACTCTTTGACACATCGATATACCACTAAAGATGTTTCAGTTCCCGCCAACATACTAAAGTGGCCATGTGTATTCTAAAACAGTGCTATATGAACAAGCATAACAAGACTCCGCAGGCAATCATTGTGGCATTCCATGTTCATGTTCCTACACGTCAGGCGTGGCTATATTAGGTCTTTCGATCCAGAACTAAACCTTGAAAATTTCATGAAAAAAAAAAAGCGAAGAGCAATGAAATGTGAGTTCAAAAAGAGGAAAAGAACTTTTTTTGGTTCATAAACGCCAGAAAGGGACGATTTAAAAGCGATTTTAAAAGCGATCGAAATTTATCCACCAACCGGTTACGATTTACAGAAGTTGAAGAGGGAGTGAGTGGGACGGAGGAGGGACAGGATGATGAGAACTGAGTGATGTTTGAAAAAATACAAGACAGAACCTGATCGCCTTGCATTAGGCGTCCATCAGCTTCAGCAGCACCACCTCGGACCACTTCGGAAACATAAACACCAGGCTCATTCTTTCGCCCAACAATACTCAAACCTAACCCTCGACCAGGCTTTTTGGTGAGCTCCATTTCGAAGATGTTGTAAATCTGTGTTGGATCCAACAGCGACAACTGCAGATTTACATCGCGGTATACCAGCAAGCGAACCTGAATTTGAGCAATTCCAAAGTAATAAATGATATGTGCAGTGAGTAGTCGGAAGGTTTTTATGTACAAATTGGTCGAGAATAATCAGGATAAGATGCAGACAGGCCAAGAAACAGCTTGGTTGAGAACACTCTTAACGTATCTTCTCTTCAAAACTTTGAAAATCTCAATGAACAGTTGCTGCTCTGAATGAGAGAATAGAAGAAAATGAAAGCACATTTACCGTATCTTGGTAAATTCTCACAGTTTTATGATTTATCATAAATTTCATAAATTCGCAAATCATCTGACAATATTTCATTTACAAGCGAGTTCTAATGCAAAACCGGTAACCTTGGCTGGAGTCCTTCGCAGCAGTAAAATGGCCTGTTCATGGCTTACACCTCGTAACGACACTCCATTGACCTGAAGTATAGTCAAAAATTAGTGCTGTCATATGCCTTTCTGGCGATATAATTTTCCAAGACCACAAAGACTAGGCGGGCAACCGGCATGGTGACCCCGTGTCAGTGATGTTAATGAAATGGTTCCATCGGCCAAGTTCAGCCAAGCTAAACCTTTTGCTCCTGGAGGAAAGGAGGGGGGTTAAATTTCCTCAGTTAACACTTCCCGCCCGTTTAACTTATTCCGAGGCTATCCGAGCGATCGCTCGCTTTTTCGCTACTACAATTCTATAATACGTCGCGTATCAGTGAACGGTAGTAGTGAAAAAGCAAATGACCCCTCGGATGCCCCGACCATCGGATGATGCTTTCTCATGTGGTCGCGAGAAGGTAGAAATTCGATAAGAGATATATTATGTATCATATCACAGCAAAAAACGCAAACTGCGATTACACACTAATTCGTTCAGAAAACTCTTGGCTCATTAGGAAAGCATCCTTTGTATCCTAGATGCAAAAGAGTTTTTGAGCAAAAAAATAAACCTCAAGCACTTGGTCACCAGGTTTTAGGCGGCCATCAACAGCTGCGGCACCATCTGGATAAACTTCATGGATAACGACCGTACCGAGTACAGTATCCGAACCACCAACAATGCTCAGTCCGAGCCCCTGCAAAGTTAGAAAATGCAAAAGCGGCAGTTCTGTATCATTTACATTGCTTGTATCAATTTAACATTCCAACCTTTATTTTTATGCGTTTTTGCTGTGCAGCGCTGTAGCGCTGCTACAGCCAGCAAAAGCGCATATTGTCGAGAGGCTG